AGATGCATGATATCATAGAAATCATTGTCTTTGGGTGGATGATCTTTTAAGAAAATCACCATTGGTCGGCACCATCACCACACGCTCTAAATGGCTACTTTGCTAGTATCATTTGTATTTACTCACAAGTCTACATTCGACTTTATAAATGCTTATGATGTCTCATAATCTCGTAAATGATTAAAATCTCAATGGGATAAATTTAATAATTGTGTATGCATGTTTTTGTAAATGATCAAATTTAAATTCAAATAATTTTTACGTTATAAAAATTTGTCTCAATTTAAATGTCTAGTCATACTATTCTCACTTTATTGGAACTAGTCATCATTAACTCAACCACATTCTAAAGATGAAATGAACTCAATATATCTTACATCGCTGAAGTTGACAAACCCAGAACTTACGCTTGGCATGGAACATGTTGTTGGAAAGAGGTGAACTCTAACATCTTTTATATCCTCATATCACCAAGAGTGGCATATACAAACTCGACATGGTTAGAGAGCACTTAGGTCAAATGTCACTAGAACATATTGGTGCAGACATCACTAGACACTTATGGCTTGAAAATTACTAGCTATGGCTAAGATCAACAACAACACATTTTGGAGGGGAAGCGTTGGTGCCTCCAATGTGCTCTGGGCAAAAAGCCAAGCTATATCCAATGCTACAATATATAGTTGCATCCCCAGATACACACAAAGAAATCTCCTCCCTTTATTATTTCCTTATCAAAATCTCATCATTTTCATTGACTAATCACTATCTTCATAAGCTCCAGCCCAGAACGAACCTTTAATTGCTACAAAAGAAAAACTCGAAACAAAAAATTTATCTCATGAAATCAATCAGCTTTGAGGAACAGCAATGGAGTCCATATTGTTCTGGGGTTCATATTAAGGCAACATTCAGGCACAATTATTGTTTGAATCTACAAGGTCTCTTGTCAAATAGACATTTTCAAAAGTCTAGAATCATCAATGAAGATAATTAGCCACCAACAATAACATTGACAATTCCTACCGCTTGGCCCTGATCGTGGGGTGTTGGGCTGATCCTTTAAAAATTCCTATTGCTTGTATACACATTCTCAGGCAATGAAGCCCCCAAGGGGATGTTTCTCAAGTGGTTAATTCCGGAGGTGGGTGGGGAGGAATTATGGGAAAGGGAGAATTATTCCCTATTACATAGCCTGCAATTGTAGAAAATTGAATCAACAGTTTCAAAACAACAATAATTATTGCCTTGGTTAGGTTAATTGTAGACAATTTAGTAATTAAGGGAACACTAATTCCTTTCATCAGACCCTTTTCTAGTAAAATACATATTTTGTTTTATCTTTAGGAATATCAAATAGGAACAGCATAATGACAACAACCTAGACAATAGGCATAACCTAGACCAGTAGAAGCAAAGTAGCTCAAGCCACTTTTGAGATACTTGGGAGGAGGAACAACTAGTTGATGATATAGGCTGAAAGCACGCCTAAGGGGAGGAGAAAATAGTGTTGGATATTCAAGCATGAGGCTTCACCTTACTGCCTTTGACGCTTAGTGCCACTGCCATCATGCTGTGAACGAAAGGAGTTTATAGTAGAGTAGCATATATCAGGGACAAAGACTGCAGCATCAGATTGATTCTGAGAATCTTTGGGCCAATAAAGACCCGAGGCAGTAGGAGGGGAAGGGATTTGTGGCACCGCCCAGGAGGAGTCTGGCACTTGACCTAGGCATTCATCATCATCAGCCTCTGCCTCAGCTGATCTCAAGATTGGTGAGCTATCAGAATCCCCACGCTTGCCACTATCAGCCTGGAAAGAATCAACAAGGAAGGTTTTAACTAAAGATGTTGTAAAAGAGAAGAATAACCAAGGCCTTTTTATGGACCAAATAAATACAGGTTAAAT